ACAGAATTTATAGGGGGAGTCCAAAGAAAAGCAGAAAGATAGAGAGGGAAATCGGGAGGGGGAGCAAGGAAGACGCTCTGTTTATTTTTATGCATCCAGAGCTTAAGCTTTTGGGTTCATTCAAAGGCCATAGAGTTAAGTCAACCAAGTTTGACAAAAATAAATAAATAAGTAAGAACAAGTCAGCCTGGCTTACTCTTCATTCTCAACGATACTGGCTGAAGGGAAACAGAAGGTAAAGCCGAGCCTTGGTGCATAGACGTGGCCAGGCCTGGGCGCCTGATCTGTGGTCCCCCGCAGCTCCGCCACTTTACCGCTGATGATGAAGTGCGTGGAGGAGAAGAACGGCGTCTCTAAGCACATCTGCCGCTTCATCCTGCCCATCGGCGCCACCGTCAACATGGACGGAGCCGCGCTCTTCCAGTGTGTGGCCGCGGTGTTCATCGCCCAGAACAAGCAGCTCCCCTTGAACTTCGTGAAGATCATCACCATCTTGTGAGTGTGGGTTGGCCCGCTGACCCCTCCCCTGAGAGTGGACACGGGCTGGCGGAGCAGGGCTCCTGCGGTAGCTTCTCCCACTGAGAGGCCCCTCCCTGACCTCCCCTCTCTCCCCCCCACCCCCCCCCCCCCAACCAGGGTCACCGCCACAGCGTCCAGCGTGGGCGCCGCGGGCATCCCTGCTGGAGGCGTCCTCACCCTGGCCATCATCCTGGAGGCAGTCGGGCTGCCGGTCGACATCTCCTGGATCCTGGCTGTGGACTGGCTAGTGTGAGTGTGGGTTTGGGGCTTCATGGGGGGCTCAGGGGTCCTCCCGGGGAAGCGGACGAGGAAGAGGGTCATGGAGAGCCTCTGGGCAGAAGAGGAGAGGAAGGCAGGAGTTTTAGAGGCAAGGGGATGGGACCTTGAGCATCCGGTCAGAGGGAAGGAAGGAAGGAAGGAAGGGGTCTTGGGGCTTGTGTGTAATAGAGTGGACCCTTAGGTCAGGCTGCTTGTGTTCAAATCCCAGCGCCACCACTGCCAGCTAGTATGGCCTTGGGATCGTATTTAGTCTCTGTCTCAGTTTCTCCATCTGTAAAATGGGGAGAATAATCCCTCCTTGAGAGGAGATGACTTAAACGCAACTTGCTTACGAGAGCCCCTAGTAAGTTGTAAATGCTGCAGACATAATTGGTAGCTATCTGTATTAAGCTACTAAGAGCATACAAGATTGGAAACATTTTGGCTTCAAGGTAAGTAGAGAATTACCATAGGTCTTAGCAGTATCACTCCTAGGTTTATACCCAAGAGACTTGAAAACATCTCCACAAAGACTTGTACACAGATGTTCATAGTATGTTATTCTATTAATCACTATTCATAATAGCGAACAGGTAGAAGCAACCCACATGTCCACCAGCTGGTGAAGAGAGAGACATAATGTCACCTATCCATCCAATGGACTACAGAATGGAGCACTGATACATCCGTGTGACCTCATGGGTGGCCCTGAGGGCATTATGCTGAGCGAGAGAAGCCACACTCAGAGGACCACATGGCCTATGACTCCATTTCTATGAAATGCCCAGGATAGGCAAATCTATATAAAGTAGATTAGTGGCTGCCTAGGGCTGGGGGAATAGCTGCTTAGTGGGTGTGGGGGGTTATTTTTGGAGTGGTAAAAATACTCCGGAATTGAATAGTGGTGATGGTTGCACAATTCTGAATATACTAAAAACCACTGGGCTGTATACTTTTTTTTTGATTGATTAAGGTATTACATATGTGTCCTTATCCCCCCATTGTCCCCCCTTTTTAAAATATATATATATTTTTTTTATTGATTTCAGAGAGGAAGGGAGAGGGAGAGAGAGAGAGAGAGAGAGAGAAAGAGAGAGAGAGAGAGAGAGAGAGAGAGAAACATCAACAATAAGAGAGAATCATTGATCGGCTGCCTCCTGCATGCCCCCTACTGGGGATTGAGCCCGCAACCTAGGCATGTGCCCTTGACTGGAATCGAACCTGGGACCCTTCAGTCCACAGGCTGACCCTCTATCCACTGAGCCAAAGCAGCCAGGGCTGGGCTGTCCACTTTTTAATGGGTGATTTTATGATATGTGAATTGTAGCTCCATTTTCTAAAATGTCGCATAAACACAGAAAGCATCAAGAGGAAAGAAAAAGATCCTTGGGATTCTAAGGAGGAGAAAGGCCTGAAGGAGAACTCGGTGTTTCAGGGGGAAGAGGAGAGGTGGAGGTGGAGGATCTTCTGGGGCCCCAAGAGAAGGAGGGGGTGACTTTGAGGTTCCAGAAGGAACAAATCTTGTTTTATTGGAAGAAGGATCAATAGGGTCTGGAGAGGACAGAGGAGGAGACCTTTGGGGTTCAGAGGCAGAGGAAATATGATGGGACACTTTGGCATTCCAGAGGCGAGGGGGGTGGGGGCTTTGAGGCGCTAGGACAGCGGTTCTCAACCTGTGGGTCGCGACCCCTTTGGCGGTCGAACGACCCTTTCACGGGGGTCGCCTGAGACCATCCTGCATATCAGATATTTACATGACGATTCATAACAGTAGCAACATTACAGTGGTGAAGTAGCCACGAAAATAATTTTATGGTTGGGTCACAACATGAGGAACTGTATTTAAAGGGCCAGAAGGTTGAGAACCACTGCTCTAGGAGAAGGGATCATTGGCATCCTGGAGGGTGGAGGGATGCCCGGGGCCCGGGGCCATAGCATAGGGTTCTGTGTAGGGCGGTGTGATGAGGACTTCGTGATTCCCGGGAGAGACGGGGGAGAGCTGGGCCTCAGCCCCACCCCTCCCACTCATGTCCCCGTCACTCCTCGCCTTTCAGGGACCGGTCCTGTACCGTCCTCAACGTGGAAGGCGACGCCTTTGGTGCGGGCCTCCTCCAGCATTACGTGGATCGGACGAAGCCCGCCAGCTCAGTGCCCCAGCTGCTCGAGGTGAAGACGTGTGTGGATCCGATGCCCGTCCCCATTGAGGAGGGGAACCCACTCCTCAAAAGCTACCCGAGACCTGCTGCGGATGCTGACGGCTTCGAGAAGGAATCTGTCATGTAAGCCCAGGAGGGACCTTCCCTGCCGATGGGGCACTTTGGACATTCAAATCGCACGAGATGGATAAAGGGACACGCCGGGGTTCTGGCGGCCCCGCCCGTACACTCCGGGGAGCCAGGGGCCCAGCCTCCCTCCCCTGCCCCAGATCGGTGAGGCTTTGCTGCTAGGACATATGTGTATGTGGGTGTGAATGTCTCCCCAAACCTCCCTGATCTCAACTCCTGCCCCCACCCAAGGTTACGGAACAGCAAATGGACAAGTGGCGTCCTGGCCCCCCATCTCAGGGCGTGGCACAGGGCACAGGTCGCCGCGTGGAACTGTGGCCTCTTTGATGGGATGTTCCCACATGTGCTGGCTCCTTTGCTGGTTATTTTGGTGGGTGTGGGTGTGTGTGGGTGCTGTGATCCACGGTACGCTCCACCCTGTCCCGGGAACTCTGGGTAGGGGGAGACTAAGGACAAACACTGCTGTCGCTCCAGAGGACATTTTTTAGCAATAACATTGCCAAGCCCTAACCAGTTTGCTCAGTGGTTAGAGCGTCCGTCCCATGGACTGAAGGGTCACGGGTTCAATTCCGGTCAAGGGCACATACCTCAGGCGCATTCAGGAGGCAACCAATGGATGTTTCTCTCTGTCTCTCCCCCTCCCTTCCACTCTCTAAAAATCAATGGATAATATATCCTTAGGTGAGGATTAACAAAACAAAAAAAAGTTGTCAAGTATATCTAATCAGATGTTTTTAAGAATTTGACTAGAAGCACTAGCTACACAGGAATAAAAAACAAACAGGACAGCCCTAACCGGTTTGGCTCAGTGGATAGAGCGTCGGCCTGTGGACTGAAGGGTCCCAGGTTCGATTCCGGTCAAGGGCATGTACCTTGCTTGTAGGCACATCCCCAGTGGGGAGTGTGCAGGAGGCAGCTGATCGATGTTTCTCTCTCATCAATGTTTCTAACTCTCTTTTCCCTCTCCCTTCCTCTCTGTGAAAAATCAATAAAATATATTAAAAAACAAACAAACAAAAGAAAAAACAGGATAAGTGGCACTTCAGGGAAATGTCTGTCCGTCAACACTATGGGCAACCACCAGGAGATGCCACGCACGCCTACCGGGATGGCAACACACACACACCACGTCCTGTCGGGCATGTGCGCAGCTGGACAGAGCCCATGCATTTCTGGTGGCAATGCAGAATGGTCCAGACACTTTGGAAAGTGGCTAGGCAGTCTTTTCTTTATTTTTTAGAGAGGGAGAGAAACATCTATTTGTTGTTCCACTTATTTATGTATTCCTTGGTTGATTCTTTTTTTAAAAACTATATTTTTATTGATTTCAGAGAGAAAAGGAGAGGGAGAGAGAGATAGAAACATCAATGATGAGAATCATTGCTTGGCTGCCTCCTGCACGCCCCTACGGGGGGTTGAGCCTGCAACCTGGGCATGTGTCCTCGACCGGAATTGAACCTGGGACCCTTCAGTCCGCAGGCCGATGCCCTATCCACTGAGCCAAACCGGCTAGGGCCGTTGGTTGATTCTTATTTGTACCCTGACCAGGGGATCAAACCCACAACCTTGGCCTATCGGGACAACCCTCTAACCAACTGAGCTACTTGGCCAGGGCGGCTAAGGCAACCTTATCAAAATAAAACATACACTTCCCATACAGCTCAGGAGCCCCACTGCTGGGAATTTACCCAAGAGAAATGAAAACTTCTGTTCACAGAAAAACCAGGGTACAAATGTTTATAGCCTCTGTCTTTATAATTGCCAAAATTCAGAAGGAAGTCTGGTACAATCCTTGGATAAACTGGTACAATGCTCATTATGAGATTGAAGGCTGCTTGGCAAAAAAAGCAAGTACTGGTACACAGTTGATCCTCGAACAACATGGGTTTGAATTGCGAAGGTCCACTTATACGTAGATTAAGAAAATAAATAAATACTTGCATTGTTTTGATCTGTTGGGAGTCTGGATGCAGAGGGCTGACTGTATGCATCGCTCTATGTCAGGGGTCCTCAAACTTTTTAAACAGGGGGCCAGTTCACTGTCCCTCAGATGGTTGGAGGGCCGGACTATAGTTTAAAAAAAAAACTATGGCCGAAACCGGTTTGGCTCAGTGGATAGAGCGTCAGCCTGCGGACTGAAAGGTCCCAGGTTCGATTCCAGTCAAGGGCGTGTGCCTGGGTTGCGGGCACATCCCCAGTGGGAGATGTGCAGGAGGCAGCTGGTCGATGTTTCTAACTCTCTGTCTCTCTCCCTTCCTCTCTGTAAAAAATCAATAAAATATATTTTTAAAAAAACACAAAAAAAACTATGAACAAATTCCTATGCACACTGCACATATCTTATTTTGAAGTAAAAAAACAAAACGGGAACAAATACAATATTTGTATTTGCATGTGGGCCGCGGGCCGTAGTTTGAGGACCCCTGCTCTATGTCATATACTAGATCAGTGCATACAGGGGACTTGAATGTCCATGGATTTCCGTATCCAACGGGGTCCTGGGACCAGTCCTGGATACTGAGGGACAACTTCAGTTCTGGGAAAATCAAGTTTGACTTATGGGGGGTCAGGGCCCCTAACACCCCTGTTGTTCAAGGTCAACTGTACTCAACATGGGTGCATCTCGCAGATAATATGTGGAGTGAAAGAAGCCAGAAACGGTACATACTATATAGTTCTATTTACATGAAGGCCTGGGACAGGATAGAGCAGTGGTTCTCAACCTTCTGGCCCTTTAAATTCAGCTCCTCATGTGGTGACCCCCAACCATACAATTATTTCCGTGGCTACTTCATCACTGTCATGTTGCTACTGTGATGAATCGTCATGTAAATATCTGATCTGCAGGATGGTCTTAGGCGACCCCTGTGAAAGGGTCGTCCGACCGCCAAAGGGGTCGCGACCCACAGGTTGAGACCCGCTGGGATAGAGGAACAGCGGTGGTGGTCTTTCGGGTGCTCGGGGACCGGGAGAGGGCGCAAGGGAACCTTCTGTGGTGCAGCCGGTGTGACATGTCTTGATATGGGTGATGCTCACACAGATGGGAACGTTTGGAAAAATCAGTGAACCTTCGGCACTTAAGTGGTGTGCATGTCTCCTATGTAGATTATCTTCCAGTTAAAAACGTTGTGCATCTCATAGGAAGAACTTCACTTGTCGCTGTGATCACTTACGTAAGAAGGCGGGTATCCCTTGATAGCCGAAGTCTCACTGCAAATAGTCCCAGTAACGATTTGCGCTTTTAATCCCAAATTTGTTATTTAAATAAAAGAACCTGCTGTGCAACTCGTAGCCCATTGTACACCACAAGTGTCTCTAGACGCAAGCGGCGGACCTTCCCCATATGCCAGGCGCCTCTATAAAAAAATATTTTCCCTGCCAAAACCGGTGTGGCTCAGTGGATAGAGCCTCGGCCTGTGGACTGAAAGGTCCCAGGTTCGATTCCGGTCAAGGGCATGTACCTGGGTTGCAGGCACATCCCCAGTGGGAGATGTGCAGGAGGCAGCTGATCGATGTTTCTCTCTCATCGATGTTTCTAACTCTCTATCTATCTCCCTTCCTTTCTGTAAAAAATCAATAAAAATATATTTAAAAAAAAAATATTTTCCCTAAGTGGCAGCCCTGACCAACTTCTAAATCATTTTTCGGGAGAATTTTCAAGAACACCCGAATTGTGAGTAATATGTTTATTTTTATAATATTCATTGCAAATTGATTTTTTAAAAAATTAAATTCAAAATATCGTGGCGCGTGGGGATGGTTTCCGTTTTGGACGCGTGGCAGTTAACTGGCGAGTCCCGTCTGAGTCCCGGATGTGGGCGACGCCGGCTGCTGCTCACCTGCTCCGACAGGATCCTGTCTGTGTGTGACTGGAGCGAGTTACACATTCTGATCTTATCTCCTGGGTCCCGGTGCAGCCTGCTGCCAGCGCCTGGAGGCAGACCAGTCCCCGTGCAGTCGCTGGCATCTGGATTATCTTTAGCATCTTCTCTTCCTCCATTTACTCTCGTGATCATTGCCGTGTGGTAATTTAACGCCTATCTGATTCTGTGCAAACTTGTAGATTGCATACAAACAGAGCCAATGAATGAGTTTATTAGTGTTGGGTAGTTAAGTAATTGGTTTTTTTTCGTGCTTGGTGGGTTGTTACAGAAATATTTAAGTGTTTTGTCAATATTTGGGGAAATTGGTGGTGGAGTTTTTGGAGGAAGCTGGGAGCGAGTGCATTATTCCCCCGCTTAAAATTGTTGTTTATCCTCAAATTTTCTATTGAATGTTTTTTTTGGAGGATGGATTAAGTTTACATTGTGTGGGATGCCTGTTTAAAGAGGTACATACCTATATATGCAACATATTGCATATACTATCTACATACATGAGTGCATTATTTTCCTTGCTTAAAATTGTTGTTTATCCTCAAATTTTCTATGGAATGTTTTTTGGAGGATGAGTTAAGTTTACATTATGTGGGATGCCTGTTTAAAGAGGTACATACCTCCATATGCAATATATTACATAGACTATCTACATACACAATATGTATGTGTACAAAGGATATATAACCGGGCCAAGTTCCACCAAACTACTTTAGCCACCCTTTTCTGTTCCATTTTTAAAATGACCTGAGTACATGCCACTAGTTTGCCTAAAACGATGATCTAAGGTCATATAGAAAGACTGAAACCGCCCTAACCGGTTTGGCTCAGTGGATAGAGCGTCGGCCTGCGGACTGAAGGGTCCCAGGTTCCAGTCCGGTCAAGGGCATGTACCTTGGCTGTGGGCACATCCCCAGTAAGGGCTGTGCAGGAGGCAGCTGGTCGATGTTTCTCGCTCATCAATGTTTCTAACTCTCTATCCCTCTCTGTAAAAAATCAATAAAATATATTTTTTTAAAAAAACTGAAACCATCTCAAGCCTCTCAAGCCCCTTCAGTGTAGACAGGGGCTTAGGTGGCTCCAGACTTGGTCCCTGCTAGAATGTGCGCTCCTGGAGGGAGGGGCCTTAGGCCTGTTCCCTGCTGTCTGCCCAGAGCACACACAGGACCTGGCGCATACTGGGCACCCAGTCAGTCTGCAGGATGAATGAACTGGGCCCCAGCTACACAGGAACTGCCCGCCTACAGGAGGCTGGTTCAGGTCCCTCATCTGCTACCTGCCGGCGATGGGACCTTGGGCAAACAGGGCCGCCTTTCACTCCGGTGACAATGGCTGTTATGCCACACCCAAAGGTGAAGGTTGCATAAGAGAAGAAAAAGCACGCACCTTGAGGCCACTCCCTAGACCAGGCTCACCTCCCTCTCCCTTTTTCCATTGCCCAATCCTCTGTTATTATTGGGACAGCCCTCTTTAAAAAAAAAAAATGATTATAGAGAGCCCGGCTGGTGTGGCTCAGTGGTTGAGTGTCGACCTATGAACCGGGAGGTCACGGTTCAATTCCCGGTCAGGGCACATGCCCGGGTTGCGGGCTCGATCTCCAGTGTGGGGAGTGCAGGAGGCAGCTGGTTGATGATTCTCTGTTATCATTGATGTTTTTATCTCTCCCTCTCCCTTCCTCTCTGAAATCAATAAAAAAATATATTTAAAAAAATTATTTTAGAGAAACATCGATTTGTTGTCCTACGTATTCATGCATTCATTGGTTGATTCTTGCAGGTGCCCTGACCGGGGATCAATCCCACAACCTTGGCACATGGCCACCACACTCTAACCAACTGAGCTATCTGGCCAGGGACTGGGGCAGCCCTCTTGCTCCTTCCAAGGAGCCTGGCTGGGGAGGGAGGGCTCAGGCTGGCCCTGGATGGAGCTTGGGCCTGGGTTCCAGACTCAGAGTGGCATTCTGGGGGTCAGGCAGCACAGGGACATGACCCTGTTTTCTCTCTCCTGGCGGCAGATCAATGCTTCCAGGCCTGTAGGCCTCCCCTCCTGCCCCCCCCCCCACTTTTTGTGGGTCACCTTGTTGAGGTATGAATTACATACAATAAACTGCATCCATTAAAGTAGACAATTAGATGAGGTTTGACAGATGTATACACTGGTGAAAATCCACCACCACCGTCCAGATACATCCCATCCCCATGTCCCCGCCACCCCAGGCCTCCCCGCACTCCTTTGCAGACTTGCCCGCCTCCGCCCCCCAGGCCCAGGCAACCACTGATCTGGGTCACTGAGGATTTGAGTTTCACAGTGGACTCAGCATGTCGCTTTTGGTGGCGTCTGGCTTCTTTTACTTCACATGATGCTTTTGAGAGTTGTTTTTGCATGGGATCAGCGGTTCATCCTTTTTATTTTAATTGCGGAGGAGTATGCCTTTGTCTAGATGATGTACTATCTGTTACTAGCCCCCAGTTGGGGGCTGTTGTGTATAAAGGTGCATTTGGTCACAGGTCTCACTTTTCATAGCACACATTTTGTAATGCCCAGGGCAATGCACACAATATTTACAACTTAGTAAAAGCATTGTCCCCTCCAACAGGACGCAGACCCCTTCCCTCCTCCTGTGCCGTGTTAATCCCTTGGCTGCTGGGCCAGCGGGAGGCCCGGGAGGCGCCAGGGGGAGCCAGGAGGGTAACAATAGGGGACGCATGGCCGTGACCATCTGCCAATGGATTCATCATCCACCATGGAATGTTTTCCTGTTTAAACCACCTGCGTGGCCACCACAGTGCATGTGCTGGCTTGAATGTCAGCTCCGGGGAAGTCCCCTGGGCTCTCCCGAAATAAAGTTCCTGGATAATGTAACCAACCCACCTGCACGCGATTTTAAAAACCATCTCATATTGTCCGAAGGGTAAGTGAAAGGAGAAATAAAAGGGCAGGCATTTATAACATGCATTTCAATTGGGAATGCCTCTCCCCAGAGCCCAAGGAGGTAGCCCGATGTTTACACCTGCAGCGCAGGCAGCTCCCAACACGGCTGGAAACACGTGGTCTTGGTGTCTAATTGCCAGGAGCCGTGCGAATGTGATTCTTCTGAACTTGTTGACAATCTTTGGCCAAGTTTTGAACAAAACGCGATGCAGGCTTCCCTCATTTTACATGGGTTTGCACTTCCTGGAAAATTCAGAACCTGTTCACGCCTTACAAAAAGCACTTTGAGTCTGCAGGAGGAGGGAGTTAGGCTCTGGGCTCAGAGAATTATTAACCAGGCTTTACAAGTAAGGCCAAGATTTACTTAGTATGCGCCGGTATGATGTGCTGGTTAAAATACTGAAATACGCCCTGGCCGGTTTGGCTCAGTGGATAGAGCGTCAGCCTGCGGACTCAGGGGTCCCAGGTTCGATTCTGGTCAAGGGCATGTACCTTGGTTGCGGGCACATCCCCAGTGGGGGGTGTGCAAGAAGCAGCTGATCGATGTTTCTCTCTCATTGATGTTTCTGACTCTCTATCCCTCTCCCTTCCTCTCTGTAAAATCAATAAAATATATTAAAAAAAAATACTGAAATACTTCTGGCTGATGAATGGTATGAGAGCAATTGAGAAAGCAGTAAAATGCAATAATGGCAAATTGTAATAGCAATTCATTAGTTCAAGTTCATTGTCGTGATGGGTTTTCTATCATATAATTAGTTGGTAATAAAGATAATATTGACAAGACAAAGCTATCAGACTGTATTTTAAGGGCTAGAAAAGTTTTAAATGTAGTTGCTGTTATGTTCTGGAACAGTGAAGAGAAAACACCAAAACACTATGGTTGATACTAAGAGCAATTTTTTTATCTACTGAAATCTTAAGTCACCTAATGGTTTGCAATTTTATGGGAAGTTGCTAGAAGCATTTGATGTGATTCCCTTATCAAATCACAGCTAAGGCAAGACTATACTGTATATAATATGAGTGTGTGTGTGTGTGTGTGTGCTGTGTCAATCAAGAAATCACACCAACAATTTCTAAATGAAATAAAATTAAATAAGTTAAAAATGAGTTGAGCTTCAACTTATGTTCTGTGCACATAACTTAAAGAAATATGAATCTATAGATAGATCATTTTGATTATTATTCTGAGAACTAAAAAAAAATACTTACATGCTCTGACTGGGTAGGTTAGTTGGTTAGAATGTTGACCTGATACGCCATGCTTGCGGGTTCGATCTCTGGTGGGGGCACATACAGGAATCAATCAATGAATGCATAAATAAGTGGAACAACAAATTGATGTTTCTCTCCTCCCCCTTCACCTCTCCCTCTTAAAAAAAATCAATAAAAAATAAATACATAAAAACAAAAAATTGATGACTATATTGACTTATATATTAATTTATATTAGCACGCTAGATGCAAAATATTTTGAACATCACCTGCACTTCGTGAATGTCCAAGGGGAATTTGAGGACAGTATGTGAGCTCTGGCCGGGCAGCTCCGCTGGTTCAAGTGTCGGCCCAATACACCAAGGTTCCGGTTTGATACCCGGTCAGGGCACACACAAGAATCAACCAGCGAGTGCATAAATAAATGAAACAACAAATTGATGTTGCTTCCTCTCTCCCTTCCTCGCTCTCTAAAACCAATCAATAAACAAACATTTGAAAACGGCATGTGACCAGGGACATTGCTTTATTGTGTGCAGGCGCCCTGCATATAAGACGTCCTCCACCCCTGGGCTGTCTTCCAAGAGCACTGCCCAACCACAGGTAACAGCTAAGTTGCCACCATGTTTCCAGAATGCTCCATGGATGGGACCCCAGCGGTCCCTTCTCGAGCTATCTGTACGTTGAGAGGCTAAAGACAGAGGCCGCGTTCTAAGAAGTCAGGCTTTGGAGACTGGGCCAAATCTGCATTTGTCTTTTCTTGCTGGTGTGTGAAGCGTCCTTCTGTAAGGGCTTCTTCACTCACCCGATCTATAGGGTCAGAGGGGCAGGGACTCGCCCAAGGTCACAAAGAAGGTAGTTGGCCACACCAGGACCCACACCCAGCCCTGACTCCTGACCCTTTTACCCATCAGCTGCCTCACAGCACCCCTGGGGGGCGAGTATGCGCATCACCCCCACTTCCCAGGTGCAAAGCAGAGGTACAGAGAGGCAGAGTCACGGAGGCCCCGGCTCACAGCGGGAGGAAGCCGCAGCGCTGGGGCTTGAACCCGGGGCCTCCCACTTCAGAGCCTGTGGTTTCACAAGCCAGGTGCACACACCCAGAGGGTGCGGACCAAGTGGTTGGGATGAGGAAAGTCAACAAAACTTCTCTATTGGTTTTGAATGTAAAAACGAAATAATTTAAGCCTTATTACTCATATACAGAATGACAGCAGTACCTGGATATCACTGATAAATACACACGTCAGGTTACATGCCCAAATAGTATTTACTCTGAGATGCATGACCACAGAAGGAAGGCAGCCATCCCTTTCCCTGCTAAGTGACAGGGGGGCCTCTTGGGGACCAGTAGTCGAGCAGGGCACACAGGCCCCTTCAGTGTGGGCTCCAG